AAAGAAGAATTAAGAATAGTCCTCAGGATACTTTACTATAGGCCTCAGGGATATTATAAGACGCCTAAAAAACTTGAAAAAGCTTGTAGAGAAGCGGGATTTAACTTCCTTTATACATATATCTGTGAATGGCTATTTAAGCAAGCATTATATCAAATTTACTTACCTAGACCCAGATATATTCCTAGACCTTCATATAATAATGTGAGGCGACCTAATGCGCTTCATTTTGCTGATGTTGTTTACATGCCTTGGGATAAGATTAAATTGAAAGTCTATAAATATGCTTTATCAATAGTCGATTGTGCTAGTCGATATAAATGGCGCTATCCTTTGACTGAAAAAACTGCTAAACATGTATTTAAAGCATTTAAGAAAGTATACTCAAATCCGAATATTCCTCTTGTATGGCCTATTACTCTTCAGGTAGATAGAGGAGGCGAATTTTTAGCAGAATGCAAGAGACTTATGATAAAACATGGCATTAAAATTCGAGTTGTCTATACCCATAGGTCACAAGGCATTGTTGAAAGATTTAATGGAACTTCGGCTAAAAGATCCTTTCAAGGTCAATACTCTAAAGAACTTGCTAGTGGAAAGATTTGTAAGGCCTGGGTGAAAGATAACACTGATGTCCTTATTGCTATGAACAATGAAAAAACGCGTCTTCTTGGTATGAAACCTGCTGATGCTATAAAGCTAAGAAAAACGCCTAAAGCAAAGGAATCTTTACCAGCTAATAGACCTATTGGTAGGGATGAAGAAAGACTCCCTATTACCTCAAAAGTTCGGCATCTTTTACTTCCTGAAGATTTACCTGGTGGAAAAAGACGTCTTACTGATCCTAATTGGACTTTGACGGAATTTAATATTGATCGAATAATTGTTGAAGATGAAAAACCGGTTTTATATTACCTAAAAAAAGAACCTGGTTCTGATTACAATCCTCCTAAAAGATCCTTTGTTAGAGAAGAATTATTTGTGATCCCTCCTGATACCGAAATGCCTCCTCGCTTTGTCTAAGATAATAATAAATTCAAGTATTCTGCCAATGCTTCATCATCTTTTTTGATAAGTGATTCTTTGATCTTGTAATGACCATATGCATAGCTATTGATACCATCATCTAAGATCCATTTTTTCGTATCAAGAGGACATAGTACCTTCTTTCTGGACTTGGTTAAATAAATTTTATGATTTTCCACACGTAATCCATATATGTTGTCTGTATGTGTAACCTTTTTATTGAATAGACAATCCCTATAACTATCCATTGTTAACTCATTTGCTACTACATTCTTTGATACTCCCTTGGCCTTTTTTGTAACTTTCCCATTATCGATCTCAAATGCATACATTTTGGATCTGAGACCTATAAATTCACGCATTGGATTTCCTGCACATTCATCCTTAAACTTACCTATTACTGCCTTGTTTTCAGTATTATAAAGTGGGTGGTCTTTGGGATAGTTGCTGAAGTCAAATAAATTCGCATTCTTAGCCATATCAGCATATATATCCTCAGTCTCTACCTCATATACAAGTGAATCTGTATCGGTATATAAAAGACTTGCTTTTTCATCATATTCGGCCTTAACATAATCATACCAATATTGATACATCCAGAGCTTGCTGAGATCTAATACGGCTGATCCTACATATATTGGCTTACTAAGTAATACTTTTTCCTTGCCTAGATGTACCGCACATAAATTATCATTAAATACTCGAAAATCTTTGCATCTGGGTTTGGCTATATTCTTAATTATGGCGCGTTCTGATTGCCAATTGTCCTTGAGCTTCATTAACTTTATGTCAGTATAATTCCGAACATTTTCCATAGTCTTACCATATACTGAATTATTCATGAGTTTGAAGAAGTCCTTTTCGAATTCGTTTTTGGCTTTTTTTCTCATATCAGTGTTAAAGTTAATAAACGGTGCAAGCCATGGAGATTGATCAAATTCTAGGATCATATGGATCTTTGTTATTTCTAAACCTTTTTTTACATAGTATTGTAGTGTTCTGTAATGTACGGCATACTCTTTCTTATCCATAAGATTTGGGCATAGCTTCTTACCTTTCACAAATTTTCCATTCCCAATATTCTTATCCTGTACTAACCCTTCCTGATGTTTTGAAAGCATATCCCTTCTTACTTCGATATTTTCTGGAGCTAGTGGGTAGTCATTATGTAGGTCATGTAGCTCTTCAGGATATCTTAGATCTACTACATATGTATAACCTTTGGGCGAGTTTTCTGGAATAGACATAAGATCGGGAGCTTCACTTGGTTTAATCCACTTGAAACCACCATATGGGAGGTATTGACTCATTGCCCATCCATATAAGTTGTTGGCATCTACATACATTAAATATTTATTCGGTTTTGATGGATCATATCCTCGACATTTTGGATTGTTGGCTTTTCCATATCTTTTTGATACCATTGATACTCCTCCACGCTTCTGGCTTTCTGTAACATCATGCATGAGCAAATCTGTAAACAATTCAAGTTCAATGTCGGTAAATTTTAACATTACATCCCAAGAATATGAGGCTGTTGATATGTAATATACTGGATCCAGTTCATAATATTCCATTGCTGTATCACGGAATGCCTCAAATACATCACAAAGTTGCATTACATCTGCTTTTAGGTAAATATCGTGATAATCCCCAAATGTATTACATCCGAATTTTTTCCATACTAGTTTAGCATGTTCATAGTCTTCTGGTGTTATAGTACCTCCAAGAGTACTATGGAAGCTTTCTATTGGGGGTAGTTCTTTTACGTTAAATTTTTCAGGTGAATCTACCCAATCATATGGATATACTCCCTTTCTTAATAATAATGTTACTTTATCATTGTCTCCTATAAGTTTATTGAGATTCTTGAAAGCTTCAGGTCTCCCCATACATCTGTCTTTATCAATTCGGAATTTATGTTCTGTACAGTCTTTTACCTCACATGGTACTGCTCCCAAGTTTTCTACTAATTTTCGAAGTCCCGTATTCATAAATTGGAAGCTATCTATGAACTTGAACTTACCTATAGTCATTGACTTATATTTTTCAATATTTTCAGCTATTACTGTTATATGATCACTGCTGGCCTTTCCTGCTGATTGACAGACTAAGTGAGAATCATATCCTCTGAAGTTATGGAATATTACCGGAATTTGATCTCTTGCTGGGTCGATTTTTAGCTTTAGATTGCATCCTGAATGTGATGCCCCTCTAAACTTACCTGTTAAGTGGTCATGATCCCAAACCTTTGTTAGAACCTGTGCATCTCGAATCATTTCCATTGCCTTGTCCATAGCCTTTTTCCTTTTCTTAATATCTGTAATCTTTTGTGCTTCTGCTTTCAATCTATTACCTTCTGCAAGTGTTTCTTTGTTGGTAAATTGAAATCCTCCTTTACAGATCCAACATTTATCTGCTTTTTCGAATTTAGCCATTGAGTTCTCATATTCCTCATGGTATTCTGGATCATCTTTATGTTTACGTATATCAAAGTTTTCAGATAATTTTTCACGGATATCCTCATACATATCTTCAAGTTCTTTAATGAATTCTTCAGTTGGATTTTCTCCTCTGTATGGTTTATCAACTCTCCAGATCTCTCCATCACTCCATTTAGCTATGATATAGTAACTATTGGGAATGTTTTCAGTGAGCTTTTTGATTTGACCTCGGAATTTTTCCCCTTCTTGAAATTTCTTATTATAAGCCTCAAAATCGGAATATATAACACAAGGGGCTCTCATCATATGTTTCCATTTTTTGAATCGTAATTTTTCATTCTTTCCTTTTTCTGGAAGCTCTGTAAATTGAGGTGCATCTGTATGGCCATGACAATACTTTTGATGACTTCTAAGTGTTGATTCTGATGAGGTGTATTGCCCACAGCGTGTACATAAATGCTTCTTTTTATTATCCTTTGTGTTGGTGAATATGAGCTTACTTGGATTTTTAATCCATAAATAATGCGTTTTTTCCTTTCCACCTATAGTTTCTTCAGTGAGGACTAGAAGATTAACCTCATATTTTCTTGTATAATTTGTCGATATTATGATTGGTTGCATTCCTTCTTTATCATCCCAGTCATATACATTGAAATAATAGTCAGGGTTTAATTTTTCGAGCTTTTCAAACACATTCTTGCTTACTGGGACTGGCTTTCCATCTAGAATGCCTTCAAAATTTACTAGATGAGTATATTTTTTAAGAATAGATAAGCGTTCTAAATGTTCTTGCTTACCTTCTGTGAGTCTATAAGCGTTACATATACATATAGCCCATAGTAAGCAATTATTATCTTTTGTATCACTGTTATCTGGATTTATGGTTGCCTTCTTATTTGCTAATGTTTTTGGCGTTTTTATATGGCTTCCTCCTCTAGCAATTTTGTATTTAGCTATCTGGATATCAATATAGTTAGATTTACAGTATCGGTATCCTGATCCTCTTTTTAGAAGCTCATCAATTTGATTGATGATTTCATTATATGATTTAGATATAAGATCATCATTAATATCAGATTCATTTAAGATGTAATCCATTGTGGTCTTGATTGGGTGATCTTCAGGTGTCCATACAATAAGTGTTTCTCCTTTTTCATTTATTGTTGTTTTCTTTATTTCCATAGTCGCATTTAATAATAATGAGAAACGCATTCTCTTTTTCTTTGCCTGCTCTGATCTTAACACATCTTTGATCTTTTCCCGAACACTTTGTAGAAGCAAGAATTCATCATTCATTAATTCATTAGCTTCTGGTACAATACCTCTGTAAATTGAAATAATATTTCTGCGCTTCATCCATTCAGTTTGGTTAATTTCCCGGAATATTATTTCACTACTCTCTTTGGGGGTTATAACTTTCTCTGCTTTCTTTTGTTTTCTAGCTTCTACACGTCTTTGTTGCCTGCTACTTGGCTCAGCTGGGGACTCTGGTAATGGAGAGTCAGAGCTTTGAATTATTTCCTTCTCCTTACCTTTTCTTGAGGGGGTAGATTGTTTGATAATATCAATGGGCTTTTTGAATGATTTTAATACGTCCCCCAAACTAAGACGTGTTGGTTGCTCAATAAATGGTCTCCCACTATGTCTGTTACGAATTTCTTCTATGAT